AAGTTCTCTACTAAGGCAGTAGGGCAATATATTAAGATGGTCAAACCTCCTGTTTTTTGGGCTCGAATCATTTGGAATCAGGCAGTTATTCCTAAACATAAAAATACCTCCTAGATGTTCATATTGAACCGTAATCCTACTATGGATCGTTTAATCTATTGGAGTGTGAATTTGGTGAATTGTTGTCTACTGTGTGGTAATTCTCCTGAGTCAAGAGATCACTTGTTTTTTATCTGTCCATACTCCTTTGAATTCTGGAAATACGTCATTGGTGCGCTGGGATTTGCTAATCCTTCTGCCCAATGGAATTATGTCCTGCAGTGGCTTACTTCTCTTACTACTACTCCTATCCAGTTTGCGGCACTGCTTCAGCTTTGGCATGGAACTATCTACGTTATTTGACATGAGCGCAATGCTGTATCCATAATGGTCTTACAAGACCGCATCCTATGTTATCTAGGGAAGTCAACCAACTTGCTAAGGACAAGTCGACAGCTTTGTGTAGTTGTGGATCTGATCTTGCTGAGTTTGATGGCACTTTGGTCTTCAGTTCGATAGTGCAGCCCTCTGTTGCTGTGCTCTAACTTCCCTCTTCCATGGTTATCATAACTATTGTGATCCTCTCCCTCTGTTCTCTTTTATATTTCTCTGCTTTATTTTTACTTTGTTCTTTTGTATGCTATCTGTAAATTTTATTTCTTTTTAAATATGAAAACCAAAATAATCATAATAATAATGACATGAAAATAAATAATATTTAAAAAATAAATACATATCAAGTTCTAGTATTTTATTATTTTGTTAGGAGATTAGAGAGTCATCAACACTGAAGAGGAAACTGAACAAAAAGAATAAAACAGACAAAAGTGTGGTGAGAAACTTCCAAATACTACCTGGCATACACTCCCGTCAGCGATCAAACACACTCAGTGAAATCAATCGAAGTAACTCGTCTTCACGTCATTATTAGTGTAACGTGAGACCCATTCACCGGCCTTTACTTGTCGTCAGCATTCCACATAGATTAATAAGGAAATGTTAGAAATAAAAATAAAGTATAACGAATAGCAACAACGAAATAGGTTTTAAAAATAGACAGTCTAAAGAAAACAAATAATAAATATAATTCTCTTTTATTCTATCGGGCTAAAATAAAGAAGGCAAAAATTACGATCGTACAATAATGAGTCGAATACTATATTATTCAAATTTAAAACTCACTATAAGTAACATAGATAAAAGCTTACCATATATTTTAACACGCCTATTTTCAATAAGAAAATTGAAAACAATGTATTTAATATTGATAACTAGATTTTGATCCATGCAACTGCACGGATTTTGTTTATATATATATATATATTTTTTTTTTTTACATTATCAGTCATGTTAGTCATATAAAATATTTAAATGCTTATATAACTATTATGAATACAATAATTTAATAGTTTACATGTTAATATAAATTATTTCTTTATTATATATTTATTTTTTTTATTTGTATTTGATATTAAATAAATTATATGTATGAAAAATTATATTTGAATATTATTTTATATTTAATTTATACTAAATTCTAATTCGGGGTTTAAAGTTGGATTTCTATTTTAAAAAAAAAATTGTTTACTTAAATAATATATTATTCTGTATATAAAATTTCATCTGTTAACTTTATACATGTATTATATAGCTACTAATGTTATCTCATTCTACCAATGTATTATATATTTTTAAAATTAATATTTTCTGTTTATGAAAATAAAATAGACTAGTTTATAAATTTAATATAATTTTATAATATTTAATTCAATAATTCAATATTTTTTTAATATGATAGATTATGATAATATAATATATAAAAGGATATAATTTTCCTTATTAATTTTATAAAATATAACTAATTATATATATATATATGTTAATTTATAATTATGTGTCCTTACCAATTCAAAATTAATGATATATTTACATTTTTGAAAAAAAAATTAAGATCTTGCGAAAATGATAAAGATTTTCTGTAATTTTTAATATATATTAATATTTTGAATAAATAGATATCAAATGATTTTTTGAATAAATTAGTTAAAAAGATTTTACTATTAGATTTAATGAAATATATTTAGTACACTTTTTATTGATGGTTCAAATTAAAAAAAAATCACACATGAAATGAGTCTTGACTTCTATTTAAATAGAATAGACTAGGTCGTGCGGATATTTTAAAACTAAAATAGTTTAAATTATATTATAAAATTTATCAATAAATAAATATAATTTATCTTGTATAATACCAGATTTTATAATAATGTTTATGTGGCTTATAATATTATTAATAGAAAATTTATATTTTTATAACAATTTTTTAAGAACATTATTATGTAACCTTACTATTTACATATTTTTTATTTCTAAATTTGAAATATATGTAAAAAGTAAATTAATTTGTACTTACATGATTCATAAACAAATTTTTGGGATTGTGTTAAATGTATTTTACATAATATGTTTAGTAAATAAAAAATGATTACAAGTTTTAAATATATTTTATAATAATTAAAATTTTAATCAAATATTTTTCAAAATTATATTTTGAAAAGATTCTAAAGATTTTAAAAATATTTTGTTAGAAGTTTTTTAAAGATATTTATTTGTATTTAAAATAAAAATTAAAGATATAAACATATATTATAATAATGTTATGTAAAATTTTATAAACTTTCTAATGATAGTCCAAACTAAAAATTCACACATGAAATAAGTCATGACTTCTGTTATAATATAATGTAGATATTTCCTAAAATCAATTTTTTTTTCCCGACTTTTATATCTTGATGGAAAAGCCTTATCCTGTTAATATTTAATGCAATCAAATATTATGCAAAATGGGTAAGAAAATGATCAACAACTAAATTTCTTAGGGAAAAAGAAAAACGAATTGTGAAAGATAATACAAATGGCAGCTCGTTCAGATTTCACTAGATGTTCCATACATCCCCTATGTATTAATTTTAGAACATTACAATATTTTTTTTAAAACACGTGTCACAATAAAAATGTTTTTAAGAATTTTTAGAGATATAGATTGATGCAATTAAACATATGTTATATTGTTTATTAAATTAATTACCAAATTAATTAGTAATGTATAAAATAATATTTTCTATTCTTTCATTAAATAAAAGTTATAGAACTATCTAATATGATTAACATATATATCACAATTAATGATTATGAATAATAAAGGTTTGATAACAATATTTTTATCCTCTTTATTTTTTATTTAATTTTATATTATTAAAAGAAATTAAATAATCACATTAGTTATATAATAAACAGTAGATTTTTTTATATGTTAAATTTGGAATTTTCTAAAACAACTATAAAATACTTAAAATGAAAAAAAAACTCACATTGAAAATTTTGTGATCAATGATAACATTTTTTAATTTAGCCAAACATTTTGTAATGACCCTTGAACAATTTTAATAATTAACTAAATGGGTCATGTACATAATAAAATGTGTTTTGATTTAAAAATTGTCGCATACCAAAAATTAATATGAACCATCATCACTTTCATTTAAAATTTTGTTACAATAACAAATATAGGATTGGACAAAAAATCTGAATTCAAATAACTGAACCATATCCGATCTAAAAAGGTAGTACATAACTTCAGCCACAAATAGTTAGATATCCGAACGGGTTCAAATTTTAGCATCTAAAGAATCAGAATCAAACCCGATCCGAATCAAAATTTTTGGATATGCGAATATATTTGAATCAGATTTATATATTTAAATATATTAAATATTTTTAATTTAATATCTAAAAGAATATACAAAATACATATGATTCTTTTAAATTGTCCAAAACACTTAGAAATATAAAAAAAAATAGTTAAAAGTACATTTTTAAGATAGTTAAACGATACTCAAAATTCTAAAAATACTTAAAATAACTATAGGTTTTTTGTCCAAATATTATTTTCCTCTTTAGATTTTGAGAAATCTATAGTATATATATGAACTTTAATCTTTTAAAAATAAGTAATAGGTTATCCAAACCTAAACCCAAATTGAATCTGTAAAGATTCGAACCAAACTCGCAAAGATCCGAATTGAACAAAACCTAACCGAACTAAATGGTACCCGAATGTTTATCCATAATCAAATGTAAAAAAAATTATTGACAACAAAATATATTTTGTTTATAAAATTTAAATACAACATATTTAAAAAACACAACTCTGCACGAGATATCATCTAGTTACCTTATTAAGAAAATATTCATATTAGTTTGTTAACTCTAATTTTTCTTTGCATTTTTCCCTAATACATGACTTAAGGTAAGTTACAATTAACCGGATATAAAGCATATGTCTATTCAACAGTCGATCGTGCTTTTACACCATGTGATATCTTATTTGAATCAGTAATTTACTTTGTACAATGCTAAGCAAAGCAAAATTCCAAATACTATGTATATGGTAAACACAAACTGTGCGTTATAATACACCTAAACTACGTAATTGAAATACACGGTTCAATCAACGTTTTTTCAAAGTGTATGATATGGAATCATCTCTTCTGATTAAAGGTTCAATATACTGCTAATTGCTAAAGTGCTAATTACAGTTGCCCATATCATTTACATTATTATTTTTACATATTTACAATATTGTATGTGCGATGTTTAATTTTATTTTTAACCCATCATCACTCTTCCTTAATAAAAATTCGATCTATTCTTTTTTATCTATTTACAACTAGATGTGTATTGCAAGTGGTGGACATCATCTGTATATGATAAACATAAACTGTACATTATATTTATTTTTCAAACAAATAATATACAGCCAAAGCTTCTTTTCACCTCATCAATTTCGATTTTGTATTCGAAAATACTTTATTTTTGACAGATCGTTTTAATTTAATTTGTTTTTGATAAAGGAGTTTGTTTCTCCTATAAATTAGACATCTCATCGACCAGAACTCTTCACTCATCAACGTTTCCACACACAAAAATACACTCTGCTCTTCTTTTCTTTGATTTTTTCTCCTTTCTGTACATTCAAATGGCCACCATCGAGGTATGTATTTTTCAATAATATAACCCCAAGCTTAAAACATTATCAGATTCTTTTATACAGAAGTGTTAAAATCAAACATCCGATTGTGTGTTTTCACTTATCTTAATCCACCTATGTGCTATGGTTTACGGACATATAATATTTGATCTATAATTGCTAGCAAAAGAGAAAGGAAATAATAAGCAGCTTGCTTGCTGTTTTTCCAAAAAAAACGTCAAGCAGTTTTGAATATCTATGTGACAAATGGTTTTGCAGGTTGAACAAGTGACTCCAGCAGCAGCTGAGAACGTCGAGGTGCCACCACCAAAGACAGCTGAGACGGAGGAAACCGCCGCCCATGCATCCACTGAGGCTGCTCCAGCTCCCGTGACAGAATCTGAAGCTACCGTCGAAGTAGCAAGTAAAGAGGTGGTCGCAGAAGAAGCAGAGGAAACCAAGACAGAGACTGAAGAGATCAAGAAAGAGGAAGAAGCTCCAGTGGCCGTTGTGGAGGCAGAGACCAAAACAGAGGAAGTTGAAGAGCCTAAGAAAGTGGAAGAAGAAACCAAAACAGCTGAAACTCCAGCGGTTGTGAAGGAAGAGAAGAAGCCAGAAGCAGAGGAGGAGAAACCCACTGAAGTTGCAGCCGTGGAAGCCGCCGCAGCTCCGGTGGAAGTTCCAGTGGAGAAGGCTGACGAGTAAACTGTTTGCTACTTTTAAGTACGTTGAGTCTTGCTTTGTTGCCCGAGTCATCAATGGTTTATTATAATGAATCCTCTTTAAATAAAATACTATACATTGTTTTATATATAATTTTACTTGATCCAAAAACTTATGACCAAGAACTCAACAAGTCAGATGAAAGAATGAGTGACAGTATAACTTAGTGTGCATATAATGATCAAACTACATGTCTGACTTCATTAATCCCACAGCCAACACATCACTTACTAGTTACTACAAACCTAGACTTTATCATCAATAACATTTCAAACCAGAAATCATTTGCATCTACAATCATCACTTCCAGCTAATGTTAGGATTTAAGGGCATTACATGATACTTTTGTTCCCTTTTAAGGATTTGGATTGTCTCTTCTTTCTAGTGAATACAGCCATCAACTCAGCCACAAGCTCCTTGTCATCATGCTTCCTCACATACTTGTTTAAGAAAGCTTCATTAGTAACACCCAACACAGGCGACACTGGGGGGAGTTTATTTCCAAGCAATCCTTTAGACATGAGAGCTTTGAGCACATTACACCTTGGCACAGTCCTCTTCTCCAAGCTGTATCCAAGTACTGCAGGGGTTGAAACCACAGCCTCTAGTGGCCAATTCATCTCCTTCACCAGAAACACAGTCTTCTCCTTCACCGACTCAGGAGATAACCCAATGCACTGAGGAAGGCGCTTCAAAATCATGGTTAAGTCAGCCTTGCTGAACCCAAGGCCAAGAAGTGTTTCAATGCCTTTCTCCATCTTCTTATCTGAATAACTTATGTACTGCGGAAACTTCTCGAACAATGAGAGGATCTCATCTTCCTGTAGTCCATACTTCTTAAGGGTTTCAACTGTCTGGCTTATCTTCTTCTCAGAGTTATTCAGAAAGGGAGGATACTTCTTGAACATTGCCCATACATCACCCACATCAAAGCCTAACTTTACATAGAAACTGACTTTATCTTCTATTGCTTTGCTGCTAAACCTTTGAACAATGCGTAGAGCTTTGACAAACTTTGGAGTGGTGGGATCAAAACCCATCTCAACAACCTTCTTGAGAGACTCTTTAAACTTTACATCTCCACTGAGACGTTGATGATCAGAGATGAGCAAAGGGAGTAACAAGTGCTGAGGCACACCCAAATCTCTCAAAGCCAATACATTTCTGAGTTTATTCTCCTGCTTACTTCCCTGTGGCAAAGAAGAAAGACATAACTTCTTGTACCCTTTGGAACTCTTATCAGCTTCTATAACCTCTTTGATGAAATCATAGTAGACACTGAAAGCTTTGTCCTTTTTGATTCTCAAGATCTTAGGGACTTTGGAAAGAACCTCAGTGAGCTCAGAGGTTGAAGCTCCTCTCGACTTTAAAAACTTAAGCTTTGGAGCAAGAGATTTATCAGCATCTTCTATAAGCACTTGTGGGTAGCTCGTAACGATGCTTGAGATGTGAGAATCTGTGAAACCATTACTTCTAAGTAGACTCAGAACAGAATCTGGCTTACCCTTTACCTCAAAACTGACTTTCCTCGAGATGCTTTCTGCAAGTTTTTTAGTTAAACCCAGAGAATCAACGAGGTAGGTGACAGTAAAGGTCTTTCCTTTACGAACATCTTGAAGAGAGGAGAAGGAATTGGAGAAAGCAGATGCATTTTGTAAGAGATTCACTAAAACTGTACATTGATGTAACTCTATAGACTTTCTTCGATGGAGAAACAGAGAATACATGACAACCCAATGCGATTGATAATTGAAAGAAGCAAGGAGGAGGAGACGAACAGCTTGAGACCGAACCTATATTTTAATTCATTTCACAGTGTTGAAGACATACAATTCATCGGGCAGGCAAAGATTTGGGAGGTTTTGGATGTTAAACCCTAATTTCGTCGCGATTCTAACATACATGAACCAGAGTATGGGCTTAATTGGGCCTACCGTTCAGGATTGACCGGAATAGTTTCGATCCCTCGAGTACATTTATGTAGGGCTGGGACTTTTATCCGGGATTCGATCCGAGATCGCTCCAAAATTAAGATATCCGGGGGTGCTCGAATCTAAAACCAGATAGTAAAATTTCGGATTCGTGCAAACCAAATCCTGATCCAGATATCTTAAATTTTAGGTCCGGATATCTGGATTCGGATTTGTATTTTACAAAAAATATTATTTTTTGTTTTATTATTAATTATATCTGATATATTAATATTTATACATAAAATAAGTTTAATAATATTTTAATTTTATATTAATAATATTATTTATATCATATATATATTCATAAGTTATGCTTAAATATTTAGTTTATGTATTATTTTTAGAGTATTTGATTTTTTTTAAAAAAATTTTAATTATTTTTACAGATGTGAATCCGAATCCGGATACCCGCGGATATCACAACATTTAGACGGATACTTCAAATTTCTCGGATATCCGGATCCGTTCCATCCCTACATTTATGCAACAAACTCTATGATATTCTATGAAGAACTCTATAAATTATCAATACGACTAGAATATTTTATTAGGATTATAATATTTTACTAGATTTTTGATCAGCGCTTAAAAAGCAGGGATACCATTTTTGTTGTTTTATCTAGAGATGGATCGATAAGTTTTTTTTTTACTTTGATGATATAAAATTTTCTTGTCTAATATAACTTTCTAAAATTATTGTAGATTTTAATTTATTATTATCAACAATATCTATGTAAATGTATTATATGTAATTGTGTAGTTTTGTTTTGGAAAAATAATATCAATTAACTACGCTTGGTGCTGGGAAGCGGGTCAAACTCACCCTACCCAACCCGTTTGACCCGCAAAAAAAATTTTTTTATCCGTATTCGCCCCATGTATTTTTGCAAATAATCAGCCGGACCTGCGGATAATTATTAATGATAAAAATATTTTTTTTTATTTTTTCTAAAAATAATATTAAATATTATTTTTTAATTATTTTTTCACATTTTTAATAAATAATTATTTTAACAAAATTTAGTATATTTTTGAAAAATATTTTTCTAAAACTGTTTTCCTATTTTGCAGATTAAAGATACCCACAATTGAAATTAGAACAATCCGCATCCATCCCACCTAAAATATATTTGACCTACACCGCACCTGTAACTTAGTTTTTTTCAAATGTCAATTGATTTGTTCCGTGGCGGGTCGAATGAGGCAGGACCAGTGGACTAATAATTAGAGGGTGAATTTGACCCATTAATAAAATCCATTAGTATATAGTTTTTAAGTTCAGAATAAAAAGACCAAATTTCGATTAATGCAAAATTAAATTTGTTCATAATATTAAGGATATTTTTGAAAAACATAAAAATTTCATTAAATGGAGTGATCATGTTTTAATGGTATTGATAAGATGTTGTTTCCACATGTGCAGTAATAACAATTTTATAAATATTTAAAGTTTAATCCATTATCAATTAAAATAAAATTTAACTAAATTAGATTCAAAATATTTAGTGAAAATTAAACAATTATTTTTTATATATACAAGTTCTTATCGTAATAAAAATATTTTTTTATCACTTAACATAACTTTAAAAAAATAATATTTGTGAAATATTTAGTAATAAATTAAATATTAAATCTTTTACGTATGACAAAGTTTGTCACTATAGTAAAATTTCTTTTACTCCATAAAATAAATTTGAAAACGTTAATATATGCATTAGTATTATATAGAATATATCTATATTTATCTCTTATAATTTGAACTTTATAAAAAATCTAATGTAAAATACTTTTGAATAACATAACATAAACTATTTTTATACAAGGATGATTAGAAAATCAATGAAATTTGTTTTAAATTTATGATTAATTATATATTAACAAATATAATTGTTCATTAACGTTAATAAAGATTTTATAAAATAATATAAATTATTTATTAAATGATAATTATCAAAAATAATGAAATTCTTTTTTAATTAATAGCTAACTATATATTAATTTTCTTATAATTTTTTTTTTGATAATGATAATCATCCAATCAATAAAACTTGTTTTTAATTAAGTTTAATTATATATTCATTCATTTTAATTTATAGTTAATTATATATTAATAAATTTAATTATTCATTAAGCATACTAATTAATCATTAGTTAAATCATAAAATATGACAAATAAGCAAAATCATCTATACTATATAAAAGTTGAGGCTATAAGCCATTGAGGACGTCCACGTAGGATTTAAGTCCTCCAATCGTATAATGACACATCATTATATTAGTTTATTATTTTTATAAAATGTCATTGTTTCCAAATTATATTAAAAACGAAATTAATATTCCATATATAACTTAGCTAACAAAATAAATATTAACATTTTA